GAAAAACAACCTACATCATTGTTTGCCCAATCTGGCCACCTGTGCTCAGCTGTTCTTGTATTATAATAAAACAGAAGCAGTCCTGCTTTAGTGTAAAACTTGTTCCAGTCTGAAGCCATGTTTTGCTATCACAATGCTGAAAAGAAAATATGGCGGACAAAAAAGTTGTGAAAATTGTTTTGGCATAGTGYAATCATYATATATCTCAGTTTCCAGTTAAACCAATGGAATCAATTGATTTGATGACTGGGAATTCCAAATATTTAACAAATGAATATATCTGCTTGACATTAATTATCATTTCATATTGATTACTGACTGTAGGTCCTTCAAAGCCAAAGGTAGTGACCATAATGATAATTTTATTAAGAATACATGGGTTCTCTGAAGCAATACCTTTTAAAGTCTGTTTAACACGAGCAGTGCAAGTAATGTAAACACAAATGCAAGTTAGAAATGAAACTTTTCCAATTTTTTCACACTTGAATTTGCATCTGCATTTCCATTTCCAACGTGCAAACTTACGTCTAGTACATTTACACGTATTTGCATTTGCATCACTCACATGAACTGGGCTTAAATGACATCAGATCAAATGATAGTCATCAGAAGGGGGCGAGATAGAATGATTTAATGGCAATAAGGTAAAGAARAGCAGAAACACTGCATAATCAAATAATAGATGATTTAGCTCTGTGTGGGAGCTAGAGGCAAAATACAGTCAACTCTCTCGTAAGCGACCACCTCAGGATCATTAAAAGTGGTCGCTTACGAGAGATGGTCGCTTACGAGAGATGGTCGCTTACGAGAGATGGTCGCTTACGAGAGATGGTCGCTTACGAGAGATGGTCGCTTACGAGAGAGTTTTGTACAGAGTTTACATGGGAAACAATTATAACGTGAAATTTACAAGGTGGTCACTTAAGGGATATGGTCGCTTACGAGAGTGGTCGTTCAAAGAGAGTCAACTGTAATGAATACAGAACATCTTCTGATTATAACTCAACTGCTCAATCACTTACAACACGATTGCATGCATGCCACAAAAATTTCTCAGCATGCACATTTACTTTAAATATATCTGCCGTGTTGGCTTTTTAATAACAAAGCATACAACTTTGTCTAATGCTCGCTCATGGGGCTACAGTTAATTCAAGAATTAGAGCAAACTATAATAATTTGATTAACGTTGATAAAATGATTTTCCCACATCAAACATTACTGGAATAATGAATGTTTCTGAATTACATCCATTAATCAATCGATTGACATCGCTGTAATCGACACTATCTTTTTCATCGACTGTGTGATGATGAGGATAAAAGTTGCTATAAGTTAAATAATTATAATGAATTATATTATATATTATATAATCTTTGTTTTTAGATAACTTAAAAACATGATAAATAACCATTGGATAGATAAAACTAAAGTGTGAACTTTAAAATAATCAATATATAATAGAATTAAAGCAATTTCAAAAGCTATTTTAAAACTTGTTATAGCTTACGTACGTACGTAAGTAAATGACAAGCGCCGAGCTGTTCCTTTATTGATTTTGTAAGCTCAAAAGGCAAGCACACCGGCTAATTCAGACGATAATAATCTAACTTCAAAATATCTAGGAAGTTATATGAATGTTATGGTTGGTTAAAACGAAAATACTCACTATTTTTGCATGTTTTGATCATGAAAGGTTTTGAAAGAGACGATCTTCGTTCTGGTTTACAKGATACAATGGCGGCCTGGCCTTGTGTCCACGTCCAGTCACGTGAAACATTTTTAGCGGGAAACTTTCTTTTTGTCTGGCTATTTTGATTTGTCTAGAATATTTTGATATTACTATAGTATTTTTTTTTTTTTCAAAATTGTGTGACTGTCAGTGCTTAAAGTCAAACTCGTAAAGGGCGAAAGCGAAGAAAAATGTTGTACTGCCGTGCGCGCGTGTGGGAGTGGAAAGCACCAGCAGTACCAGAGCGCAGCGTAATATTTTTCTTGCTTCTCGAGTGTTTTCCGTCTTAGTCCCAACCTGCTTTAACAGTACTTATCTGACTTAGTCTTCCTAGAGAAAGTGCAGCCTTTTTCTTGTTTCAGCCAATGAGAAGGTGCGCGGTCTGTTTCAAAATGTTTAAATGGGGTCACACTCGATGAGTGCAATTTCAAGAGTGCAACCTTATCAACGAACGGCAACGGGAGGTTGAAGTTTTCCCATTCCTATATTGTCTGTCCGTCTTTATACATATGAGAACGAGCAAGAAAAAGAAGCCTTCTCTCCTGTCCTTAGCTTTCTTTTCACGCGAACGCCCTAAGAAACCTTTCAAATGCACCTACATTCTTTCGTGCCGTTTTCAACCAATCAAGAAATGTCAACAAATTTACCGATTCGCATTCAASACCAAAAATTTCTAGTGGCAGGGCGAAAATATAGCGTGATGAGACAACTATATTATAACAGGTTTTCGGTTCCTGGTTGTAAAAGTAGGGGTGTATAAGTTAGTTTAGTTGTCCACTTCATAGCTTTTGCAGGTTCATTTTATTGTAATTTTTTTCCGTGAAGCACTAAATAGCCAAATCGAGTTATGGATGTAATCCACTGTAAAAATATTGCCAGGAAGTTTTTGTTCATGTTTGTTTGTGTAAAACGCAATGCAACAATAAATAGGAGCCAAGAAGATTATGAAATAAGAAGATTAATTAATATTGTGATCAAGAAATCCTTTTTTAATCATCTAGCTTTCACTTTACAGTAGATATAACTGTTAATGAATTACATTATAGGAAAATACAACGAGCTTTTATCATGAAACAAAATTAAATTTTCGAAAAAACTGGGGGGGGGGGAGGGGCTGCCCCAGCAGCCACAACTCATCATGTAATCGTTGATAAAGCTAAGTACATGCTGAATTCTTATAAATCCTTTGTTTTCTATTGCTTATAATCAATACTAGTTTGGTTTTAGCTTTAGTTTTTCAACCAGTTTTTATATTCTTACTGTATTTTAGGATACAGTCAGATACAGTCAATCTCATTTGCACATTTTGCAATGATGGGTAAATACAGCAACTAAGTCACTTACATGAAAAGGCTTTACGTTATGCATTTCTGTATATATGTATGTCAATCCAAACCCTGGCATGTGTCATCTTTCTTTTTCATAGTCCTTCATCATATAGAACAGAAGCAAATTTGCAGAATTTAAAAAAACTTACTATTAGAATTAAAATCCTCATATACCCAATTTTCTTGATCATGATCTTCATGTAACCATACAAGCCAATATCTTCAACATACAAACATGGATTCCTCTTGATGTTGTTTACTTTATCAGCCAAGGTTAACAGATGCTTGCGTTTCTTCTCAGGTATCTCATCAAACAGATTCACACCATCGACCCAGTAATGATTACAATGTCCTGTCGTTAGACAATAATGAAGTTCCTGTAGAAGAGTTTGGAAACAGTTGTCAATATTATAATCAACCCAAAACCTTTCTGGTTCCTCTGTCTTTTCAAGAGTGTTAAGAAAGATTGTCTTGATGTGATAGGAAGATAGTTCAGGTAAAATTGGTTTTAAATGATCCTTGTGGATTATCTTAAGAGCCAAGAAGCATTTTCTGGCAGTGCTAGGGACCAACTTTGATAACTCAACTTCTGCCATGGAGAAGGAGTACCTCCAAGTGCATTTCCCATATTTGTTTGAATCTTGGGGCAATGCAACCAAATGAAAACCATTTGAAAAAATGTTTCGCACTTTGTCTTCACTTGGCCACCATCTATCAGTGTGACTTGTCCAGTTACTTAATGGAGGCCACTCCTCACATTTGACACATAGGGTGATGTCACCCTCAAAAACTTCGTTTCCAAGAGGACCAATTTTTATCCTAAATGAAGGACCATGATTGTTACTTGTCCTGGTCATCAATGAGTCCATAAATTTGATATCAAGATCTCTGATAGAAGATGTTTCAACAGCGCTTTCAAGATTCTTGAGGAGCTCATTGAAGTCAAGCAATTTGCCTCCTTTATCAGGGTCTTGAAAATGCAGCTGACAATATACAGGCAGCAATGGTTCATCAAATTGACCAATATTACTGAGGCTTTTGATATATGTATTTCCTTTCTGACTGAATGATGCACGATACGAATCACAGCAAATCATAACATCAAAATCAGAGCACAATCCATTGAACTGGTTTGGGATCTTCTCTCTCTGTAGAAATGGAATGGCATATCCCTCACTTATACTTCCTGTAAAAAAGTGTGAAAATATACATGTGTTGTTGACTTTCCCCAGCTGTTTTGCTATAATATTAAAGAAGGAAATAGCCTTGCTGCTCGACTGTTGGCATTCTTCATTTGGCGGTGGTGGTGGAAAAACTTTGTACATGATTTCATCTAGAATTTCTTTGAGTAACTTCCCACTGCTAAGGTAAAAGAACTTTACCAGATGCCTTCTGTGTCCACAGGCGTATGGAAACACTCGTGCCTATGAAAGTGAATCATAAACCATCTCAGATTATCAAAAATTAACAATGATGATTTTCACGTCCAACTCTTTCCTGCTCTGAACTAGGGCTTAATTATTCTCCTATAGACTTCTTAGGTGTCTTAATTGAAATGCAACGACTCAAAATGCAGTAGTCTAATCATGTTACTGATATTCTAGTAACTCAGACACAAATGCAACTTGGTGCCTGTTGTACAAAGGGTGAACAGTGCTGTCCATAAATCCTTATCCCGCAGTTAAAATCATGTACAAAATCTATGACAAATAAGGAGTTAACTTTATCTGCATTTTCTACAACTGGCTCAGAGCACTATTGTGGCCGTGTAACAAAGTTAGGCAATCAGAGTGCAAGAAATCGAAGTTTGATCAAAAGGCAATGTCTTTTCAATTTTCATATGGCTCATTTGTTAATTGCTAAATATAAGCTTATCTGAAAATTAAGTGCATTGTTGTGCAGCTGTGAACTAAAATAAAAGTGTCTAGCAGAGTAAGTATTCGCGCACACTTACCATAAATTGCTTAAAAGATGTTCCCATAACAAAATCAATATATGGAAGATATTTTAAGAAAATAAACACGACAGCTTGAATAAGAATGAATCTGATAAAGGCAGGTAACAAAAACCAGAAAGCATTGAAGCTTAAACCATATTTTTCCACCGTTTGGATTGCTTCACTGACGAAAGGTAACGCTATTATCGTGCCACAAATAAAATAAATTCGTCTCTTCATAGATTTGATACTATCAGGAAATTTTGGAAAGAAGTTTCGAGGCATCTTGCGTTCCGATCAAATTGTAAACAATCATGTACTCAGAGCCCGCACTTTTGCCATCCAGCGGATGAAAAAAAAAAACACCGACGCAGCTCACACTAGTTTACCGCTAGTTCCCACCAATTCTTCTTGAATGTGGCATTTTGGGACTTTGATTGCGCAGCAAAGAGCTTGTCTTATGAACGAGAAAGTGATTAGTTGCATATGATTCGGGGAAATTTCCCATGATCATCCAAGCAAAATTGTTTAATTAAGCTAACCAATCAGAAACTAAAAAAGAAGACTTTGCTTCTTTCATAAAGATTCTAGTAAGGATATTAAAATACTAGCACCAGAAGATTTTGAGATTTTGTTTATATAAAGTATATGAATTCCAAAAAGATCATTTCGATGATTACACAATGTGAAAACATCGAAATTAAAATTCTATCTATGTTATCAAAATAACAAAATAACAATATTCAGTAGCACGCATAGTTAGTAGAGGGTGTCTCCCCCTACCTCCTACGGTTTTGTTGTGGCGAAAAAGTTTGCACTAATTCTTTTTTTAAAAAGTATTTAGGTTAATCCTAGATCATTATAAAGAATTTCTTAATGATAATTTCGTCAATTGACTGTAATTAAAATCAGTTAGTGATCGAATGGATCTGAAATCCTATTTATGATAAAAACACTGCAAGGGCACAACAACTGATGACCCTGAACAACAGGTTTTAACATGTTCGATGAAAGTTCTAGAAATTGGTTCTGATACTGTTTCTGACATTTTTGTGTATTTGTTGTACTTCTTCCAACAAACAGTTTCTAATGTTATGTCCGGCACTGACTTCTCTTGACCATATGCATTATAATCATCGTAGAGAAATTAGACTTGGACTATATTCTATTGGGATGTTGTGACGAAAGCTGTTTTCACGTTAAACAATAGAATTTGCCTACCAAATTAATGTCGCACTGAGAAAGCGGTGAAGTGGATAATTCTCGGAAACAGGGGAAATTACCTTTTCCAAGATGGCGGATCCAAGATGGCGGATCCTAAGATGGCGGATATTCTTGTCAAAATGGCAATGTTCACACAAAAAAGCCGATTCAGACAATAAAAAAGTGTGATTTTGAGTCAAACATATTTTAATACAAAAGTAATTAATAGTAATGATAAAAAAGTATGATGACATTTGTTTTCCCCCGAGTGGTCAACTTTTTTAGGACAGTATTTTGGAAGTAATTTTTCAAGTTAGAAAGTCCAACTTAAAGAACATACAAATCAACAACAATATTTTATTGTACAGTTATATCCACTTTATTGAGTTATTCACATCTAGTAGTTTGTGCTCAATAAAAATGGTCGAGTTAGCTCACAGGACGGGCACATGTCATTTGCACAAAATGAACAGTGTAGCGCACAGCTCTTTGTGAACCGTTTACTAACTTGCATAAAATAGTACAAAGAAGTTAGTACAAGTGAGTTCACTCTCACATTTTTAATCCACTACTTATCTTAAATGTTGCAACTCTATGCTGTTGTTCAAGCCATATGTAAATTGTCAGGTAACTCTTTAAAGTATTTAGCAAATTCACGTATAAAAAATCCTATATATATGAATACAATTTTGATTAATATTTCGACTGAACTAGATTCTATAACGCAAATAAGCTGGTGTGAAAAATTTCAAATTGATTTTCATTTTTTCATTGCTGCGCCAGTTCGTTAATAATTATCTATCATTAATTAAGATCTATTGCGTGTTTGTGTTTAGATTTTGAACATTACAAGTCTTGGACATATCTATGATTATTTTAAAATACATTCCTAAAAGATTCACGCAGCTTTTGTTTTTTATTCAGATTTGTTTTGTGTTGGATCAGTCGTTGACCCCTGWAGAGCTATTTGAAAAAGAAAAGAGGTTTTGAAAGTTGAATTAACAAAATAATAATGATTTTGCATGCGATCGACTAAACAAATACAACATCAAACTGGAACCACTAATAAAAACTATGCTAATACCATGTAATACAGTGCCGAAGTTATTGATCCTGTTGCTTTAATCAATGATAGATATAATACTGTCTGATGAGTGCGGAGCACGAAACTCGGAGTATAAGCAAAATCTTGCCTCTTTGACTTTGATATTATATATAACTCACTATATGTGTATTGAGCACACTTTAATGGGATCAGCTACTTCCTCATGATGGTTACTATAACTTGCATAAAATAATAAAAAGAGGCTAGTACAATTTCAAAGTGGCGTTCACTTTCACATTTCTTTGTTGAAATGAAGTGCAGTTTTTCAATGCACCACTTAATATAAAACATAATGTTGCAACTCTATAATCTAGTTCAAAGCATATGTAAATTGACAGATAACATTAAAGTAAGTATAAAATTAAGTGTTTACTTCATGGTCATAATAGTTAAAATTAGATTGTATAATTCTTAATGTCTACTTGATGTATATATGTCAAATGATAATGTACAGTCATTTCTAATGAAAGAGTTTTTTCTATAATTTTCTTTTAATCAGCCTTTTTCGATCGAGTGATCGCTGCAACTGTACAAACTAAATAGTGATATTTAGTTGTATTTAGTAATTCGTGCATACGTCATACGTTACGCAAATTAAATTGAATTGATACAAATGAATCATTCAATACCGTCTTGCTTCAGGTCCACTTTTTGTACAAATAAAAGTTAGTACTACTTAGATTTTGYACAGTTGCACGGTTAAAGTGCGATCACTCTAGAGTGAACGTTATTATTAATGCTATGCCAGCTATGCCTATTGTAATAGTAAATAACAACAATTTAATTTGCCAGTATTTTTTGGTTATCACATACATGTATGCAAAAGCTATTGCAAAAATGCCCAAAATGATAATAATAAGTATTACCCATATCCACTGCCCTATAATGCCAGACAATATCAAGAAATCGAACATGTTATGTGTATGAGAAGAGGTGAACGTTCCGTGGATAAAGTCGTGGTAATTTGATAACAATGGAAAGAAGTGCCATCCAGTCATCGGTATGATCACAAACGCATATGGTAAACAAGCAATCAATGCGACTACCCAAAACTTCCAGTAGTATACCATATCGGCAACTCCAAAAGTGATCTGAAGCATTAGGTTTACAATGTACCATATTTGAAACATGAGCTCAAAGAATTGCTGGTCCCAGTCGATGGTACCTTTGTATCTCATCAAGTATACACCACAGATCATGATCGGCATTTCGAAGAAGATCGACAACACGACAGAGACTACTACACAGGCGTCGTGTTTTCCTGTACACCCAAGAAATGTCCAAAGTGTTATATCCAACGTGATTTCGAGTGCAAAAAACACGATATAAGCAACGGCTGCATCTTTGTAGCCCTCTGGATTTTCTAAATAAAAATTGTTATTCATGTTTGGAACGGGACTATATATAATGGCTAAATAAGTGATTATCTTGATATATATAACAAAACATTTTAAGCCATTAACTTGTTACGTAAAGATGATTATATTATAATAATACTATATACATTATACCGAGCGACCAAAATCGGCCGTTAAAGTTAACGGCTTAAAATGTTGGCTTAAAATGTTTATATATATATAATGCTTATTCTTATATTATATTAAAATTAATTTAACCGAACAAGTTAATGGCTTAAAATGGTTGTCATATATAGCAAGATAATGGCTTAATAGGCCGTTATCTAAACCCCCTGTTTGGAACGATATCTGTACCGAGGACGATCCCTCCAAGCACGATCTCAACGAMTTGAGCGATGATTTTTAATCCCCATGCAAACTTACGATACGTTCTGTTGTTCCAGATTGGTAATGATGTTATGGTCCCAATGATATTCTCAATCACACCCAATGTTTCAACTTGCATTTTGTATTCTCGCTTGACTTCTACATGATTAGAAACACCGAGCTGTTCTCTTGGTTACGGAGCAAAGAGCAGTTTTCAGAGTCTCGCGCAGCTGCAGTGACGCAAGTAATGGAGACAACTGTCTAACATTCAAATCAATGAATTTATTATTCTGGAAAATTTTACCCGGAAGTAGAAAGCAAAAGAAGTAATTTGCTTTGAAAAAAAGCTGTCCTTTCTGTATCAATCTATAATGATCGTGAAACTACCGAGTTAGAGTATTCAGTAGCAATAGAAAACGTTTGTTTAAAAGTAATTCAAATTTCGACTTCATGTTTGACCTTTTGGATTATATGGTAGTAAACAATGAATAACATGTCTGAGGTTTGAAAACTTTATAAAGTAAAAACAATAACTGTTATATATCTCAATTTTACAGAATGAACGAATTCAATTGTTTGAAAAGAAGTATTGTACACGGTAAAGGCAGAAAGGCAGAAACAATGTATTACCAATGAAGTCTGGTGTCAGTAAAATTCAGTTCCGAGTCGGTGTCTCTTCCTGTCAGTAGTTTAAACACCAACTTAATATTGGTTTTGCTGGGTGCATAAATTGAAATTTGTTAGTCTTTTTCGGTCTTTGATGCTTTTGTCTGCATTTTAAGTGCATGTATGAGAATTAGAAAAAGGTTTTTAATTATTATTATCATCATTTGGTTACAATTTCAATTCCTATTACAACACTATAATCTACGCTGCAAAAAAACACTAATTAAAAATCATTCTACAACAAATTACGAGCATTTTCAGATTTATGGAAAAATCAGCCTCCAAGGAATAGTGATATTATTCATAGTAGTGAAAAAACAAAGAGAGACAATGTATAGAAAACAGCAAAAAATAAATCAATCAGAAAAAATTGTTGGATACGATTGTGCATCATCAAGTGTACACCACACATCTTGTTCGGGCTCCAAACACATTTTTACATTAATTGCACATTCACATTTTTAAGGACAATTTTCAAGTGTTTTTGTATGGTAAGAAAATCCAACTTCTGAAGAATGTAGAAATTAACAAACATATCTCTTTATTCTACAGTTATATCCACTTTATTGAGGTATTCACTTGTAATATGAATGTGCTCTATGGAAATGTTCGAGTGAGCGCATTTGATCGTTAAATTGTACACATACTGCACTGCAGGAGCGTAAGTTCCTTGCAATCATCATTTTTTGTTAACCGGCTACTATAACTTGCATAAAGTAGTACAACAACGCTAGTACAATTTCAAAGTGCGTTCACTCTCACATTTCTTGGAAATGAACTGGCAATTTTTCAATGCACCACTTTGATATAAAACTTAATATTGCAAATCTATAATCTAGTTCAAAACATTTAATATGTAAATTGACAGGTAACATAAGTAAGTATAAAATTAAGTGTTTACTTGGTATTAATAATTAGATTGTATATTTCTTTATATGTACTTGTAGATATGTAATGATAATGTACAGTCCTTTCTAATGAAAGAGTTTTTGCTATTATTTTATTTAATCAGCCTTATTTGAGTGATCGCACGTAAACCGTCCAACTGTACAAACTAAATATAGTGCTATTTAGTTGTGTTTAGTAGTTCGTGCGGTACGCAAATTAAATTGAATTGATACAAATGGAGCATTCAATACCGTCTTGCTTCAGGTTCACGTTTAGCCACAAATTAGTACTACTTAGATTTTGTACAGTGTAGAGGCACTCGCGTTGTCTTTATAAGTCTTTATTAGATATCTTTACAATCTTGGCTTGGCTTTAGATTACAACTTTACTGCTCAACTGCACAACTTCAACTGAACTAAAACTGCGTTACCGACAGTTTTGTTTAACACATTTACACGTGACTTGAGACTTAGTTTCGTCAGTGGTGACATAGTCACATGACTGATTGGGGATATCCCATTGGTTGCCAGGTAAGGACTAGAACTCATTATGTGGTGTTTACTAGGTAAACACAGAAATCTTTGCAAAGGAAAATCTCTACTTTTCCTGGCACTAAATACTTGGATACAAAAGTACCTAAGAAGTAAAAGTTAAAAGGTAAGAGATTGTAGTTTTGGTTTTTAGTGCCATTCGAAGTGAGAGGAAAAACTACGTACAGAAGGTGATTGCGCAGTTACGCCACGTAACTGTGCATTATGCATAAGTTAGGGGGAAGCTGCGAAGCTTGCATCCCCCAGGTAAAATCAATAAATAAATGAATAATATTGCACAATAATGAGTTCTAGAGAACAGCTGCTGGTGTTTCCCAGGAAACCAAGGTCAAATGCAATTAGTAGAGAAGTCGGTTTTCCTTTAGGAAACACCACAAAATCAACATATCTTTTGAGCAACCAATAGGATATCTTACCATTACGGCTGTCCACTTTTAATTAAATGTTCTAGTGTGTGGGACAGATTACCTAGTGTTAGCACTATCTGGAAAATGTACAAAAAACATTGTTATCTAATGACTCGGCATGTTTGCCTTTGATCAAACATTTGAAAAACATGATTAAGCTGTAAATTGAAAACAAAGTGTAAATATTGATTATTCAGAACATCGGAAACGAAACTAGAATATTGGGTTCAAGTGAAGTTAGAGGCCACTGGCCTAATGCCAAGTATATATAACACGAATTCAAATGCCAAGTACGACGGCACTGATGCCAGATGCGCGTTTTCAGAGTATTGATTAAGTTGCCAGATATTGCCTTATGACAACAGTATAGTGCACGATTTAAGGAGGGTTTAAGTGCGATTACTCTACCTTCCCTTTTACTGATTTTGGAAAGTACAAATGTGCAAGTAAAACCTTAATATTTATAATTGCCTTATCGTGCTTCCGTTTATTATTCAGAGCGTCACCGAATCTTGTCTGCAATATAACCAAATGCAATATTGCGTTGAACAACGTCTGAAACGATAGTCCAGTATACCATGTATAGAGTCAGTTAAGAATTTCTTTTTTGTGATTGTTTTAAATAGCAACAATAGTCCGATTACCGGCCAAACTTTCGAGTCACCAGAACCAAAATTTTAAAGCTATAAACAACGTTATCGCATTTATAAGGTAAGTCATAAAAGATCCCTCAGAAATTAATGCTATTATTAATACTATTATGCCTATTGTGATAAATAACACCAATTTAATTTGCCAGAATTTTTTGAATATCACATATACAAAAGGTATTAAAAAAATGTCGAAAATGATAGCACTAAGTATCAACCATATCCACTGCCCTATAAAGCCAGACAACATCAAGAAATCAAACATGTGCTGTGTTTGAGTTGAGTTGAACGTTCCTTGGATAAAGTTGTGGTGCCGGTAATTATTCGACCATGGAAAAAAATACCATTCAGCAGACATCGATATGATCACAAACGCGTACGGCAAACAAGCAACCAAGTACGAGAGAGGTCCAAGGATGAAACGGACCTTCTTTGCATAGCCAGCGGTGATCTGCAGCATTATGTTAAAAATAAACCATCTTTGAAAAATGAGTTCAAACATTGGCTGGTTGCGCCAGTCGATGATACCGTTGTACTTCATCAAGCATACRCCACAGATGATGATCGGCATGTCGGAAACAACAGACAGCAACACCGAGATTGCTACACTGGTGTCGTATCCGTTTGTCCACACTACAAATGTCCAAACCATCAAATCCAATATGATCTGGAGTGCGAAAAACACGATGAAAGCGATTGCTGTATCTTCGTAAATCGATGCATCTGTGAACTGACCTAGAGAATCTTTTCTAATTTTCTGCAAGTTCGGAGCGATGTCTTTGCCAAGAACAATACCTTCGAGCACAATTTCGACGATGTTTTTTGATGCCCACACAAAACGACGATGATATGTTCTATTTTCGATTGGGACTACAAATATCTTCCCGATCACACCCAAGTCGACTTGTAGCATTTTGGCTTAACCTTCTGGGACGAAGAACGTTGTCTTGCTATATGTAAACTGTATCTGCACCAATTTGACTTTGATTGCGCAGCAAAGAGCTTGTCTTATGAACGAGAAAGTGATTAGTTGCAAATATAATTCGGGGAAATTTCCCATGATCATCCAAGCAAAATTGTTTAATTAAGCTAACCAATCAGAAACTAAAAAAGAAGACTTTGCTTCTTTCATAAAGATTCTAGTAAGGATATTAAAATACTAGCACCAGAAGATTTTGAGATTTTGTTTATATAAAGTATATGAATTCCAAAAAGATCATTTCGATGATTACACAATGTGAAAACATCGAAATTAAAATTCTATCTATGTTATCAAAATAACAAAATAACAATATTCAGTAGCACGCATAGTTAGTAGAGGGTGTCTCCCCCTACCTCCTACGGTTTTGTTGTGGCGAAAAAGTTTGCACTAATTCTTTTTTTAAAAAGTATTTAGGTTAATCCTAGATCATTATAAAGAATTTCTTAATGATAATTTCGTCAATTGACTGTAATTAAAATCAGTTAGTGATCGAATGAATCTGAAATCCTATTTATGATAAAAACACTGCAAGGGCACAACAACTGATGACCCTGAACAACAGGTTTTAACATGTTCGATGAAAGTTCTAGAAATTGGTTCTGATACTGTCTATGTCATTTTTGTGAATTTGTTTTACTTCTTCCAACAAACAGTTGCCTTGTTATTTCTTGTTATTTCTCTTTTGATCATGCACTGCAGAAAAATTATTAGACTTGGGCTATATTTCTTAGGATGTTGTGACGAAAGCTGTTTTCACGTTAAACAGAATTTGTCTACAAAATTAACGTCACACCACAGGCTTACCAGTCTCTGAGGAGTTACGGGAGATGGGCTACCTGTGGCGACAAACTTAACGGATTTTCACATGTAGTCAAAATATCGTTTCTAAACCGTATCTTTTCATTCTTGAAATATCAAAAAACTTCAATAAAGATGGTTCAATAGTTTATGAACATTTTTGGAGGGGTTATTTTCGATTTTGATGCTGTTTTAGTGTGTTTTGGGAGGGTTAGATTTCGATCTTCTCCAGAGTGAAGAGAAAAGGGTTAAAGGCTGGCAGCCGATCGCTCTCGGCCGGCCAACTGGTCAACTTCAACGCCG